CAGCCGGCCCGCGACCCTCAATAGAACCACTTGCAGACTGAGTCCAGCTCGCTCAAGGCAAAATGTCCGAGTGCTGATAGAAAACGGCCGTCCATCAAATTGGTCAGTCAGCCAGGAGATGAAAAGCCACGGACGCTGTTTTGTAGAACACCAGAAGACCACCAAGCCAATCTGCAGCATCCAGTGATCAAAGTCCAAACACATATCCAGAACAGAGAAGAACAGGGGTCCCACCTTTGACATGTCCTCCCATGGAAGAACAAAAAACTTTTTTCCAAGAATTTTATTGAGAGACCAGCTAACCAAATCCATAAAAATAAAAATATCCGTAATTTCTTATTTCGGATGAAAAAATGTGGAGAGGCTCCAAGCAGCAAAGCAGGGAAGATAAGGAAGGGCAGGAGAGAAAGGAAAAGTGTCTTACTCCTCCGAGAGCAGAAACAAAACAAAGGTTTCATGTGAACTCAGCCTTAAGCACTGCCTCCACAAATAATCCTAGGTCCAAACAAACTTTAGTGTATTCCCCAGGTTCAGACTAACTCATCATGGAGCCACTGCATGATCAGAGCCATGAGACCGGCGTCAGGGTTCCCAGATAAAAATAAATAAATAAATAAATAAAAACTATTTTTCTGTGCACATTTTCACCAAACACAACACACATCTTATCTTACATCTTCACTCAGCATATATGACTGAGTGAGTCATACATACAGCAGATCTGCTGTTTTGATCCAAAATATGATTTTAAAGGAACAGTAAAACACTTTATTATGTCCCATTTGGCCCTGCCTGGTACATTACTGCAGCAGTTCCATGTAAACGGGTGTTTTTTTTTGTACAGTCACCCCAGTAAATATTAGCATTTTCAGAGACGGGTCTCGTCTAAACAGGGCTTTAGTAAGTAATAATTCTGYAATAATACACCCGATTAACAAAGTTAAATGGAGGGAAAATCTAATTTGAAGCATCCATCCTTCCTTTTKCACCTGCTTCTTCCTTTCGGGGTCACTGGTGCCCATATCCAGCAGTCACTGTKGGAGGGGCAGGGTCCACCCTGGACAGATCTCCAGTCCATCACAGGGACACATAGAGACAAACAACCATTAACACTCATTTACACCTAGGGACAAGTGAAGTTACCAACTAGCCTAGCATTCATGTTTTTGGTCTGTGGGAGAAAATCGGAGTACCTGGAGAAAACCCACACATGCACGTAGAGAATCCTTTTCATGTCTCATCGGTGTCTGATAGTTTTCTCCTATGACTCTGTCACAGAGCTGATCTGGTGTCTGCAAAAGAAATTCTCAGTGGAAACGGTGAGTTGATGTAAACTGTCCATTTTGAAGCTGTTTTGATTTAAAGAACAACTTGTTACAGTTTGATTGCTCATGCTCACTGAAGTGTTTGTCTTTTCAGATGAGATGATTGGTCAGGTGATGAGCATTATGAAAACCCAGTCTGTCCCGTACACAGCCATTTACACCGGCTTACAGCCCTCCAGGGTCAGTCACAGATTGCTGCTCGTTATCATCTGCTGTGATTGTTTATTAATTCAACATGTTTATATCAGTTTAGTTATTGATGTATTTCTGAGTTCTCTGTTTGTTTTTTATTGTCTCTTTAGGAGGCAGTGTCTCCGTCTTTGGAACCAGTCCTGGGAGGAGGACGCTCTTTGTTGCAGTCCAGAGGTGGATACAGGGACAGATACAGGGAAAGGGACCGGCAGCCAAAAGTCAAGGAGAGAGCTGGGATTTATGCTCCAGTGGAGTTTAAGGTGTTTTATTATACCTGCCCTTTTCCTTAAACAGGGCACCAAAAAAAACAACCCTGTTGTATTTTTCTGTAAGGTGAAATGTGCTTTCAGCCTCAGGCCACTGAAAAACTACACCATCTGACTGTCTTTTTCTTCTTCTGAGTGCAGGAGGGAGAGAAAACCTGCATCCTTCTGTGGTCCAAAAGCCTGTCAGTCAGCATCCTTCGCAGTGGTCGCTGGGAGGACCATGACCTGACCCCGTCTACGTTTGGTGAAGGAGTTAGCCCCAAACTTCATGGCTCCAGCTGTGATCAGAACAAAGCAAGGTAGGAAATGTGTCTAGTATGACATGATTCCTTTTTTTAGTTTTAAAATTAATGTATGCATGCTGGGATTATCCAAAAGGAATTGGATTCATTTAGATTATTAAATAARCAATTTATCACACTATGAATAACTTGCATTGATTTCCTCAGTTCTGCAGAAAGATTTTCGGTTTTTCTTCACATCAGCCAAACAGCAGYTGCTGTCACCGCCATCACACAAAGTTCACTTTGTTTGTTTGTTTGTTTTTCTTCAGGCCACTAGTGATGGGTCACTTAAAGCTGAAGCTCCAGCCCATCTCAAAATGTATTTTTTTCTTCTACAACACAGTGGTGTAGAAGATTGTCCGTCTGTTTTCTTCCTCTTATCTGGTCTCGGGGGCAGMAGCAGAGAGACCCAGACTTCCCTCTCTCCAGYCACTTGGACCAGCTTCATCCAGGGGAATCCCAAGKTGTTCCCAGGCCAGCTGAGAAACATAGTCCCTCCAGTGTGTCCTGGGTCTTCCTCTGGRYCTCCTCCCAGTGGGATGTGCCCGGAACACCTCACCAGGGAGGCATCTTAACCAGATGAACCACCTCAACTGGCTCCTCTCAACGTGGAGGAGCAGC